TATGTTTGGTTCGCTCATGGAATGTTGGATTCATAGCAATGTGTCGAGCAGAGTTGCTGTCACAATATAAAAGAGCCGGTTTTGTGAAAGGGATGTGTAGGTCTTGAAGTAAGTATGTAAGCCATTGAAGTTCACAAGTGGTAGAAGCTAGAGCTATGTATTCAGCTTCAGATGAGGAACGAGATACTGTGGTTTGTTTCTTTGATCGCCAGGAAATTAATGAAGAACCCATGAAAATGCAGAAACCGGTGATGGATCTGCGAGACATAGGGCAAGTTGCCCAATCTGAGTCATTGAAGGCCTTGAGATGAATCGGTGAATCAGAAGAAAAATATAAACCATTTCCAGGTGCATTTTTAATGTAACGAACAATTCTAAGAGCAGCTTCGTAGTGATTTGCGGTTGGATTTTGCATAAATTGACTTAAATGTTGAACGGCAAAACTGATGTCGGGGCGAGTATTAGTAAAGTAGAGAAGACGACCAATGAGACGTCCGAAGGCAGTTGGATCATGAGGAGGAGAAGTGGTATCATAGAGAGGTTTTGTGTCTTTCATCATTGGAGTGGTAAAAGGTTTGGCTGTAAGCATCCCTGTATCAGCAAGAATATCTAATGCATATTTGCGTTGGCTTAAGTGAATTCCTTCGTTGGTGCGAGAAACTTCAAGGCCAAGAAAATATTTGAGATTACCTAAATCTTTGATGCGGAAAGTAGAGTGAAGAAAGCTTTTAACGTGATTTATTTCTGTTGATGAATTTCCGGTGAGGACAATGTCGTCTACGTATACTAGGAGAGCAGTGAAAGTGTTGAGAGATCATATTCTGAATGATGATAGCCGAGACTAATGAGAGCGGAAGACAGTTTGCTGAACCATTGCCTACTAGCTTGACGAAGACCGTAAAGGGATTTGTTGAGACGACACACTTGATTAGGAGAGGTAGGAATGATGCCGGGTGGCAACTCCATGTACACTTCTTCATGTAAATCACCATGAAGGAATGCGTTGTCCACATCCAATTGTTGAATGATCCATTTTTCACTTGCTGCAATAGAAAGTAAAAGACGAATAATAGTTAGTTTAGCAACAGGGGAAAAAGTATCAAGAAAATCTACCCCTTCTTGTTGAGTGTAGCCTTTGGCTACAAGACGGGCTTTGTAGCGTTCTAGAGTGCCATCAGCTTTGTGTTTAATGCGGTACACCCATCTGCAACCAATAGCAACCTTGTCTTTGGGTAAGGTGGTGAGGGACCAAGTATTGTTAGTTGCGAGTGCTTGAAGTTCATTGTTCATGGCATCAATCCATTGTTGGGATTTGATGGCTTGTTTATAGGTTTGTGGTTCAATAGCATTGGTAATTGAAAGTGTGTAATGAAGATGAGATGGTGATAATTTGTGATAAGATAAAACAGAATGCAAAGGATATAGTGAGTTAGTGGTAGATGAGGAAGGTGGGAGTTTAGTATTACAATGAAAGTCTTTGAGGTAGCCAGGGGCTTTGGTGGTTCTAGTTGATCTTCTTAGGTTGGTGGTGTCAAAAGATGGATGTGGATTGGGTAGAGGAACAATGGAGGATGAAGAATCACATGGCAAGTTTAGGGATGGAGTTGATGGAGTGGAGATAGGTTGTATTGATGTTGGTTGTGATCTGTCATACTTTGTAGAGTCCTCAGGATCATCAAATAGAAAGATGGAATAGTCTTGATCTACAAAGTCAATATTAAGAGAAGAATCAGTAATTTCAGCATAGGGAAAAGTAGATTCATAAAAATAGCATTGTGAGACGAATATTTCTCTAGTAGAGAGGTCAAAAACAACATAACCTTTGATGCCAACTTTGAAACCTAGGAAGATGCATTTTTTTAGCTCGTGGATCAAGTTTGGTGCGATGTTGTTCTAAGGTAGAAACATAGCATAATGAACCGAAAACTTTGAGGTCAAGAAAAGTAGGAGGTTTATTATAAAGTAATTCAAAGGGAGACTTATTTTGCAGAATAGGACTAGGCAATCTATTGATCAGATAAACGGTATGAAGAACAGCATAAGACCAAAAACATTTGGGAAGTTTAGCGTGAAAAAGAAGGTTCCTAGTGACATTAAGTATGTGACCATGCTTCCTTTCAACAATATAATTTTGTTGAGGAGTAGCAACACAAGAGGTTTGGTGTAGGATGCCAAATTTATCATAAAATTCTTGATAGAGAAATTCTGATCCATTGTCCGACCTAATAGATTTGACAGATTTGTTAAACTGAGTTTTGACAAAAATAACAAAATTTTGCAAAAGACTTCTTGTTTCAGACTTAGCAGTCATTAAAAAAAATCCAAGTATGCATAGTATGATCATCAAAGATAGTTAAGAAATACTTATGGCCATATAAAGATGGAATAGAGAGTGGTCCCCAAATATCAACATGTAATAAATCAAAGGCGTGTAAACTAACAGAAGAGCTTAAAGGAAAAGGTAATTTGCATTGTTTAGCATAGTGACATGAGTCACAAATTCTTTTATTATCATATTTGATATAAGGAAATTCAAGGACCTTATTTGAGGGATGTCCCAAACGAAAATGCCAAGTATCAAAAGATGAAATAATACTTTTAACAGTAATATCATGAAAAATAGATGAAGCTTGGGGCAAAGGATCTTTAATATAGTAGAGTCCATTGTGAAGTCTAGCAAGACCAATCATCTTCAAACTTGTAGCTTCCTGAATATTGCAAATAGAATCATGAAAGGTTAATTTGCAATTAGAATTGAAAATAAGAAGATGAACAGAGACAATATTCAATTTGAATGTAGGTAAATAAAGAACATTATATAATTTAAAAGAAGGAGAGAATTCAATTGTGCCAGAAAAATTTGCTACAACAATCAATCCATCGGGTAAAGAAACATTAATAGGATTGATTCTGCGAAAAGAAGTAAAGTATTTCTTGGAATGGGTAACATGATCAGTTGCCCCACTATCAAGAATCCAATAATCTTTTGCAGGATCAATGGTACCTGGCTCAATGGATGTATTTTGATGATTCATCGAGGAATGAAGTGGAGCGGTGTGTGTAGTATTGACATTGTGAGCAGATGCTGCAGTAGATTTGGAAGAATTTGATAATAATGAGAGAAGTTGTTGAATTGTCTCAGCACTTAATTGTGGAATGGATGAATCATTTGCAGCAACATTGGAAGAAGTTGGAAAGGAACTGTCATTAGAGGAAGTAGTGTTATTGACGGTCGATTGAGTTTTTGGTTGGTACCCAGGTGGAAATCCGTGTTTGAAGTAGCAAGTGTCAATGGTATGGCCGAGACGTGTGCAAAAGGTGCATTGTTTGGGTGGACCACGAACGCCAGACGAACTTCGACCTCGACCACGTCTTCCGTTGTTGTAACCACGACTTTGAAAGCAGTTACCATTATCAGAGGTATTGTAAAGAATTTTTGAACTTGGAATAGTAATATTTGCAGGACTTGATTCTTGTTGAAGAACCAAAGAAAAAACTTTGTTAATGGAAGGCAGTGGATCCATGAGAAGAATTTGAGAACGAACTGTGTTATAATTGTCACTTAATCCTTTTAAGAAACAAATAACCAATTCGGAATCACGTTGTTGTTTGATGATTTTGAAAGCGGCACAATTGCAAGGTGTGTGACAGGTACAAGAAGGAAGGGGACGAAGATCTTCAAGATCTTCCCAAGAAGTTTTCATAAAATTGAAAAATTCTGAAATTGATCGTTCACCTTGTTTTGTGGAGTGAATTTCTTGCAAAAGATCAGAGAAGCGGAAGTGATTTCCTTTGGTGAATCGTTCTTTCAATTCTTCCCAAAGAACCTTAGCGTTTTCGACGTAAGCGACACTTTGAGCAACCGAAGGTGTGAGAGATCGAGTTATCCACGAGATAACAAGACCATTACACTGTTTCCAGGCATCAAACAAAGGATCAAATTCTAGTAAAGGAGGTAACTTTTCATTGATGAATTGTAGTTTGTTCTTGGCAAGGAGGGCTCGCTTCATTCCACGACTCCAAGTGTGGTAGTTGTTGTTGTTTAATTGTGGAGAGACCAAAACCAATCCTGGATTTTCACCAGGATGAATGTAATAAGGTGATGAGTGTGATTGGGAGGGATCTTTGATGTGATGAATAGTTGAATCATTGTTTTCATCAGAGGAAGATGAAGAATTTTCTTCATCGGTCATTGGGAAAAAAAAAGGCGTGTTAATTTGTTATGATATCACTGATACCATATTAGAGAAATATTGTATATTTCTTATTGATAAAAAAGTGAATTATTACATGAACTTGTAGCTGATTACATGAGAGAATTATGATAGAATATTATCCAACAGTTATATTAGGAGAGCATAAATAGGAAAAGAAATAATAGGTAATTAAATCCTAAGACTAGCAAATAAGAAGGAAATATTAAGTAATTAATTCCTAATAGTATATTTAAAAGAAAAAATACTACACCAAAATAAGATTTTGCCTTTATATATTACTAGCTTTATTTAATGCTCACACTGTAAAAATTTAAATGATATTCTTTATTTAATATTAATTTTAAATAGAATTTAATAGTAGAAAGTTAATAGTAGAAAGTTATGTGAAAGATGATAGTAGTGATTTCAATGGTAATAGTGATTTTAATAGAATTTAAAATATATCTTATTTTATCTTTTGAATTGATGTTATTCAAAAGTATTTTACCATAAAAACAATAAGAAAAATGAGGAAAATTAAAGATTTCATAAAGTCATTAGTGTAAAAGAATTTCACTATTTTATATATAAAAAATTATAAGCAATCTATACTTACGACAATTCCTACCTAAAGTATTTTCCTATTAGTATAAAAACTATGAGCTTACATCTAACCATGCACAATAGTAACAGCATATTGCCACCCTGTCATTGTTGTCGTTAGATATTAGGCTCATTTTCTTGTCCATAGTTAAAGAACAAATCACAATGTGGACCCATACATTGCCTGCAGCTCTTCCAACTTCACCAAACTTTGAAGTGGTCAGCAGAATGCGACAAAACGCTACCACACAAAATTTCCGAAAGATAGTCCCTCAAATCTTCGGGCGAATATCTAATCACCGAATCCAACCCGACCCGATATTTCATGTAAAATTCCCTATACTTATAAACAACATTCAACTCTACTGACGCTTTTAATTCGTCTCGCAATGTCGGGTCGGGTACGACCCACAAACACTGTGTTCTGCACGCTTCTTTGAATGCGGCGTTGAAATTCTGGAAAATAACACTCGCATTCTCCGCCATTGGATTTTCCGGAATCGACGATAGGACTTTGCTCCACGCCATGCGCTCGTATTTCGAAACATACTCCTTCACCTTCAACTCATGCTTGATTAACCAATCCTCGCCGAGAATAAACCCTAGATTTGAGTTACGCACTTTAACGACGACGTATTGCATGTTATTCGCAAGAAAAAGGTAAGAAAGTGCAATGTCTTTGTATAGTTCCGATTTTCCGTCGAGTTTGCAGAGAACCGAGAGAATCAACCATGAGAGACGTTTTGATATCTCCGACGGCGGATTATCCTCGTCGTGAGATGGACTTTTGTAGTAAGATTCCGGTAACGGTGTTTGTGGCCAATCGGAGAATATATCAGAGAGCGCGTCGCTGTAATCGTTGAGAAGCGAAATGTAGTTCATGGCATAGCGCGTGAGAGGATGAATCCCTCCGCCTGGAACCGGAATCTTTGAAGTTTCCTTCTGAATCGCCGATTCAAAATCCGATAGCATTGTTCTAACGGATTCACCGAGTCTCAACTCTGAAGCGATCACCTGAGCCCAAATTGGCGAAGATGCCTCCGATGTAAATAGTGATTCAATTTGTTGCCTGTTATCGGAGATTGCTTCATACAAATCCAGTATTCTGAACATTTTCTCCGGTGTGTTCTTACACTTCGCAACGTTTTCCGGGAATCCAAACAACATCATAGCGCCTTCTTTACAAATCTCAGTGAAACACGAATATGCAATATTCCTCTCCGGCATATCAAATATGTAATTGCAGAGTATTCTCTCGCCGGGAAAAAGAGTATTAACGGCAACTTTAATTGCGTTCAACCAACACTTGATCTTCCATTCCAGCAATTCCCAATCCATTTTCTGAACCTGAGAGAAACTTAGCTTCTCAACTCCAAGATTGTATAAAGCTTCATCCATTATCGATTTTCTCACAATTACGTAAACATTTGCACACTCTTTACTGTAACCGGTGAAGATCATACATTCTGCAATAGCTTTCAAATCCGATTTGACAGTTAGGGATGACTCTTCGTCAGAGACTTCATCGTCGATTTCGGAGAAACTTCTCCGGCCATCGACCGTGGATTCAACTGAGAGTGATTTCGAGCCGTAACGGTTTCTGTTTTGTGCTAATATTCGGTAAAATTCTGTTTCAAGTTTCTTCATGGCGAGTTTCATTAACGACTGTGCTTTGATGAGTTTCTGAGAGGTGGAATCACGTGCGATGAGGTACATCATAGCGTATTGTAACCTCGTAACAGCGTTAAGATACTGTTTGGCTTCTTGAGGAGAGTTTGTGAAAAGTGAATAGTTAGAAGATGGGGAAATAGAGTTCCATTTCGTTATGAGAGAGTGAGCGGTTTCAATATTTTCATCAACTATTGCATCGGAGAAGGTTTTGTTGTGAGGTGAAGAAGGTGGCAATTGTGGTGGTGATTTGGGAGGTGATGGTTTGAAGAAAAAGAAGCTTCTAGGTTTTGGCATTTGAAGGGTTTGTTTGTAATTAATGTGTTTGTAAAAGTTTTATGTTGAGTTTGTAAAAAGTGATTCTAGTTTGGAGTTTGAGGTGAGGGGTATTTATAGAAGTGGGAACAGTTGAAGATTGTTTTGAAGGGGAACTTAATGGTGTCAGTTTGTGGGGAATAAAGACAACAGACGCGGTAGTAGAGTAGGTTCAGATATTGCCAACATAAATTTCTTAATTTAGAACAACCACTAAGAGTGAAATGATCTTTGTTTTAAATTAAGTGTGATAATTTCCCTATCATCATGAAAGGTTAAGTATGCCATCTACAACCAATAATTAGTCACTATCATTTTATTAATTGTGTTGAATTATTTACAAAATAATTTACAATAAAAAAATTCTAACAACGAGATATCGCCACCTAAAAACCACGTCATTTAAAAAGGACGTTTTCAAGTGATTTTCGTCTTGTTTGTTAAATGAGTCAGCTAGTTAGATGTGTCAGCTGTAGTCAGCAGTCAACTAGTTAGATGTGTCAGCTGTAGTCAAGAGTCAGTCAATTAGATGTGTCAACTGTAACCAATTGTCATTCAGTTAGATTTGCTAGCTATAGCTAATTGTTGTAACTACCTTTCCTAGTTAGTTATAGTTAACAGCGACTATATATATATATATATATATATATATATATATATATATATATATATATATATATATATATATATATATATATATATATATATATGTAATTGTATTGCAATAGATTGTATTGTGAAAAGATTCAATAAATAGAATTTATCATTTCACTCCATTCTTTTCAACTTTGAGATGGTATCATTGAGCTTCGATTTAATCCATCATGGCTAATCATGACAATAATTTCCCACCACCACCACCACCGCCGCCTCTCGTTTCTTCTACTGATGGCGGAGCTCCTCACATTACCTTTTAGTTGAAAATCTAAGATAAACTCACTGAAAATAACTTTCTAATCTGGCGTCAATAAGTAGAGCCAATTATCAACGCTCATAATCTTCAAGATTACATCTATTTTCCCTTAATTCCCTCCCAATTTGTGCAAACCCCTAATGTTACAACTCTAATAGAAAAATCCTCAGTATTGTGCTTGGATTCGTCAAGATGGATGTATGTTATCGTGGTTGCAATCAACCTTATCTGCTTCGTTTATTTCTCGTGTTCTTGGATGTATCAAATCTATTGACCTTTTAGAACAAATTCATTCTCACTTAAAAAAAAACTCACTCGTGCAAAGGCACGACATCTGCGATCTAAGCTTTGCGCGAATTTTCTTGGTGAATCGGTAATTGAAGAGTATCTTCTTCACATTAGGACTCTAGTAGAATCGTTAGCCTCCGTAGGCGATTAAGAATAGTTTGGTCCAAAGGTTCTTCCCCTCTCATAATGGTTAACTTGAGGCTTAATCTATTGGAGTTATGGTTTTCAATAGGCAAATGGGGGATTACTTCTTTAGATAAGGGATTCTTCGAGTTATCTTTTTCCTTTTTGGAAGATGTTCATAGGGTTATATCTATAAGTGCTTGTAATCTGAATCAAAGAGTGTTAAAGTTATTCCATTGGAATAGAGATTTTTTACCATCCACATTGAAGCAAACTTCTGCACAAGTGTGGGTTAGAATCCATGGCTATCCCAGGAATATTGGAGACCAAAGATTATTTTTGCAATCCCAGTAGTGTGGGAACTCCCATATGTATCGATTCATGCTCCAAGAAGTCGACATTTGATTGACCATTTGGCCACTTTATTAGAGTTTTGGTAGGTCTGGATCTCACAAAGGATTTTAGTTACAAGATTATGGTAAAAATGGTGAAGTTTGTTTTCTTTGTGGATATTAAATATGAGAAGGTACCTGAACTCTGTAATTTTTGCACTTGTATAGGTCACTCAGTTGAAAGTTGTAAAAGGAAGGATCAACAGTTGAAAAATGATTTGGATCAAATTAATCTTAAACTAAAATCAATTAATCAACTTATGTATATATTTGTAGGGAAAAAACCTCTAAATGAAGAATTGGGAAAAGCTTCCTTGGATAAAAAGAAACAAAATGAGTCTCTTGCTCAGGTGGAAGGAACAAGTGGGGTTGACATGAGCATCAACCTGCCTATAAGTGACACTGAAAATGTTATTGAGGTTAAGGAAAGTAATGATAAAATTGATATTGAATTTATGGATGCTACACAAATAGATGGAAAAGTTCCTAATTCACAAGCTATAGTAGAATATGATAAAGATAAGGCCAAAGACCTTTTGGAAAAATCTTGGGCCAATATGACTGAGATGGATAAAGGTGAAACTCAAGATGAGAATACTTCTCTTGATGATGACTTCAAATTGGTAGCTTCATATAAAAGAACAAAAAATATAGCTCAAAAGGTCAAACAAACACTAAGTTCATGTAGGGGTGACAAAATGGATGGATTGGATGAATATGGATTGAATTACTAATGGATGGATCAAAACAATTCATTAATTCATTAACAATCCATAAAAACTTCTTTTAAAAAATTCAATCCAATCCATCCATTAAGAATATAATTCATTCAATACATCCATTAACAACCTTTAATAGATGGATATCCATCCATCCATAATTTTAATTTAAATATTTTAATTATTTATCTTATAACAATTTTTTTAAAACTTCACAAAAAAAAATACATTATTGATAATAATAATTGTAAAAAAATATCTCTCTTTATCTCTCTCTCTCTCTCTCTCTCTCTCTCTCTCTCTCTCTCTCTCTCTCCCTATCAGTATTTTCTTTCTATGTTTGAATTGTTTAGTTTCCTTTCAATTTTGTTCTTTTTAGGCATGATTAATGTCAGTAATACTAAAAATGATTACAGGGGACATCGTATCTTTTGAAATTTTATTATCATAATCAACTATTTTAATTGTTTCAAGATCATAATTCAGTTTTAGTAAAAAAAAAATTCATAATTCATCTTATAATAACTAGCAAATTACATATTCTCAAACAGATTTGTATCAACTTGATCATTTGCACAACTATGATGATAAAGTCCAAAATTCTTATAATAAAATAAAATACTTTAAATTAGTTTCACTTAAATATATTCAATTAATAAAAGTACAATAAAATTTTTATTGGGTTTATAATCTCAGCCAAATTTAACTTTATCTTCAACTAACTAGTTTAACTTAATCGCTTCTGATTATAACATTTAGTGTGCTAAAGAAATTAATAAGGTCAATTTAATCTTAATCTTACTTTTTTTCCAGATGAATATACTGAAGGTTCTGCAAATTTGAGCAAATTTTAGTAAAACAGGATGTTGCACAAGATGTTACAACAAGAAGGTTTCTGCTGAAAGAAGACATGTTGGACAAGATGTCCCAACATGATGTTAGGACATCGTGTATGTTACTGATGTACAAGATTTTGTTTCAGCATAATATTTGCAGATTGTTCCAAGATTTAAGGCATGGATCAAGGAATAATTAAACAAATATTTCAAAACCCATGGACTGCTGAAGATTATAAAAGGAAGACCAAGACCTAGGGTAGGATAAGAATCCTTGTGTAATACTTGTAAAGTAGAAAAATAAGGGTTTAGGGTTTTGAGAGTCGTAGGCTTTCTTGTGTTGTAAGTCTCCTTTTGTATCGGTTGGATACATTGTAGCAGACATAGATGTTTATACAGATTCAGGAATCTGTAGGTAATGAATTATATATTATTCTTGGATGAAGCTTTGAAGTAAATTCAAGTAGGGTTGTTAGTCAAGGTTTCTTGGCTGAACTTTGTATTGAAAGAGGTGTCTTTTAAGTAGGATGATATAGTTATTGTGACTATAATTGTTAGATATCACAGGTTGTGATTAAGGGAGTGAGATAGATTTCTCTTATCAATTAGATGTGACTTCTAATGATAAAGTTTTCATTGGGTAGTGATAAGTAAACCGAAGATTGTTTACCGTAAACCAGAGGTTGTTTACATAAAATTATACTATTGATAGTGGATTCTTCTTCCTGGCTTGGTAGCCCCCAGATGTAGGTGATTTGCACCGAATTGGGTTAACATATCTTGTGTTATTTATCATTCTACAAATTTTTAGTTCAGTGTTTGCTTATTGAAATATCTATTGTGATTCTGTTGCTGATATTCAGAGTATCAGCTTGATTATTCTACACTTGTTTTAAAGTTATGCAGAGAACAATGTCGTGACATGTTGTTATGACATCTGCAATCTGCTTGCCAGAATTTCATATACAATATGCATAGTATGTATATTTCTCATTATAATTATGTGATTTCAGGTTCTAATAGCAAACATAATATAAATATGTTGATATATCCATGTTGTGAATCAAAATAGTAAAAAGAATCTAATTTAGAATTTGATTAAATGATGAGAAAATTATGAACACCTTTATCATTTTATTTTTGGGGTGATATTCCACTTGGTTAATTAGTGGTAATTTTTTATTGAATAAATAATTTGTAAGTGATTTAAATATAGGAAGAAAAAAAAAGAGGGAGATAGATTTTTCAAGTAAAAAATTTCAATTTTTTTTGTGAATTTAAAATATAAAATAAAGTGTTTAAATTTTTTTATATATATTTTAAAATAAAATATTAAAATGTAATCCGTTGTATTTTAAAAATGAGACAGATGGATTTGATCCATCCATATGGTTAAATGGATGGACTGGATCCAATCCATTAAGTAGTATTTTGTTTGATGGATGATTTTGATGGATTAATTTTTGGATGGATTTGATGAATATTACTTTAATGGATTCTATTGCCACCCTTAGGTTCATGTGTAGTCCCTCAAAATCTTTCCCAGGACTGACTCTAAAGAGATTGATCAAATCCAATAAACCAAACCTGACTCTTATAGTTGAACTTTGTATGGATTTAATAATTTTACTAAAAGTTAGCTTAGTCGACTGAATCTTATGCCTTTTGCATTGAATAATAGGCCTGGTCTGCTTCCCAGCCTTTAGTGCTT